TCAACTCTGAAAGAAATTTATCTTAATTTCAATACTTTTAAGGGTGAATTCCCAATACCACTGTTGAACATATCAGGCTTGCAGACGATTGCTCTTGTAGGCAACACCTTTTCTGGGAATCTTCCACCTGACTTAGCTTACAGGCTTCCGAATATCGAAGGCCTTTTTCTAGCTATCAACAACTTCAGTGGAAGCATTCCTCCCTCTATCTCAAATGCCTCCAAACTTGCATATTTGGATCTTGGAAGAAATTTCTTGAGTGGATATATCCCTGCAACTTTGGGAAATTTAGATCAGCTTTTGTTCCTCAACTTGCAGTTTAATCGATTGGGAAATGATCCATCAAGCCCTGAGCTTGGCTTCCTTTCTTCCCTGATGAAATTGAAGCAACTTCATACTCTACAGTTAGGAGGCAATCCATTGAATGGAACTTTCCCAAGATCCTTACCTGATGGTAATCTATCTATATCTCTTATAACATTTCTTGAATATCACCATTTTATTATACAATACTATGTCACCATTTGTTAAAGCCTTGGTTCTTGAATACATGCCAAATGGAAACCTGGAAAGGTTGCTTTATAGCTTCAACTATTGCCTGGATTTTGTTAAAAGGCTGGAAATCATGTTAGATGTGGCATCTGCACTAGAGTATCTGCACCCTGTGGTGCACTGTGACCTGAAGCCCAGCAATGTCCTCTTAGATGAAGACATGGTTGCACATTTAGGTGACTTTGGCATAGCGAAAATCTTGACTCTACAGAACCAGGCAGCACAAACAGATACATTAGGCACCATTGGGTACATGGCACCAGGTAAAAGTTACAATCTTTTCGTGAAAACTTTCATGTTCAGTCACTTTTATGCTTGATTTATGCAAAATTTTCAGAGTATGGAGCGGCCGGAATAGTTTCTGCAATGGGGGATGTTTACAGCTATGGGATTCTTTTAGCAGAAACTTTTACAAGAAAGAAGCCCACAGATGAAATGTTCTCTGGAGAGCTAACAATGGAAAGATGGATTTCTGAATCATTTCCTGGGAACATTATGCAGAGAATGGATGGCAATTTGGTGGTGGAGGGTGAAGAGAATTTTGCAGTGAAGCAAATTTGCCTGAAATCAATCATGGAGTTGGCTCTTCAATGCACACAGGATTTGCCTGAGAATAGAATCAACATGAAACAAGTAGTAGATGCACTCAAGAAGATCATCTACAAGTTCCACCACAACTCCAATGCCTGAAAACTGCTCAATATTGAAAATTCACTGCAATAAACTCTTTTCTACTTGAATCTGTATTTTGGGTAAAGTCCGATTCAAAGGTAAATTAGTCTTAGGTTATTGGTTCTAGGGGTGACTGTGGTTCCGGTTTCACAAATGAGCAAACCGGAACCGAATAGTAAGGTTCCAATTTCGGTTCAGAATTGGCGGTTCCGGTTGGAACCGCCGGTTCTAAGCGGATTTATTTTAAAAAATAATAATTAAAAAAGTACTATAATTTTTAATTTTTTTCAATTTAGAACCAGAACCGCCAGTTCCGGTTCCTTTTCATCTCGAACCTTAACCGGAACCGTACAGACGGTTCGGTTCCGGTTCAACAGTGCACGGTTCAATCGAACCGAACCGTGATCATGCTTAATTAGTTCAAGCCAAGAAGATCACTTTGTGGTTGCTAAATCAACTCTCCAACTAACTTGACTAGCGTTGCTCCTATTACAATAAACTCGGTTCAATACTCTTTTGCCCGTCACTTCTCAAAAAAAATGGTGACATTGTATTGTATAATAAAAAACATACCAAAAGGTTACATGTTCGATTTTTGACGATATCCTCTTTATCGTGCTCGTCACACATAATTTTTCTAAATGTAATTACCTCTCTTGTAGTTTGCAGACTATTATATAAAAAACAGAGGTTACCTCATATATATTCTGGACAATAACTACTAATTTTCCTCGTTACTTAATTAAAAAAAATCATTTAACAGTCACAAGGTATAGAGTTAATTTTTATCAATAAAAAGTACAAAATTAACTTGATTGTATTAATTAAAGCTTTGACAAACTTACTCATTTACAATTTACCTTTTCCATATGTCTTGGTGATAAAAGCATTGATATTTTTGATAAATGAAATGAAATGATAAGATAGTAATCCAATATCCATTACTTAATAGAAAGAAACATTTTGGTACACGTGTCAAGAAAACATGCCAGGTGAACTCCGTCTTTACGTTTCTGATTCTCCTACACAACAACTCTCTCCCTATATCGCTTTTCGTCTCTCTCTCTATCTCATTCGGTCCGTCCTTTATTTATCGTCGTCTTCTTTATAGCTAATGATCCCTGATCATTTTCTTTTTTTTTTTCATTTTAAAATTCTGCTTCAAAAACCCTCAAAAGCTCTTCTTTTAGGCTCTGGGTTTCCGTCTTCTTTCTCAAAAAGTGAGTTCCTCTGCTTCAACTCTACCGGGTAACTTCTTATATATACAAGCGCGCAAATACGTGTATGCATATAATTGTTTTGGGTGATAAAATGTTCTTAATTGGTTTTGGGTTTGATCATGGTTGTGATTTTGTCCTAATTGTTTGTCTGGGGTAGTGGAAGAGCATTAACATAGTTTGATTGTGTTTATTATGCTGAAGTTACTGAGTTTTTTCTGTTCTCTGTTTTTTATTTTTTTGAAGAAAGATGAAATTTTTTGGGGGGAATTGTTTGTGTCATGATTATTGTTTGTTTTGGGTAAATTTTTGTTTGTTTCTGATTGTTATGCTTTAGTGGGTTGATGAATTGCTTGAAGGGTTAGGAATGGTTTTGTGGGAAACTTGGTTTGGAGTGTTGTTTTAGAGGGAAGAAAGCTTCTTTGCCTGCTAGGGGATGACTGAAATGGCTTTGGAATCTAGAAAGCATAAGAAATTATTCTCCATATTATAAGCTATAAGTTATGTAGTATAAATGGCTTTTGTGAAGAATGCAATTGGCTGTATTAATTACCATCATAATCATATCATTCTCCTTCAATCTTTCCCCCAAAACTGCAATCTTTGTGGTGTTCATGCTCATTTTAGTTTTCTGTTTGTAGCAAGGTAGATTATGAGGTTTTGGTGTATGATTTGTAAACAATCCTGGGTGAGCTTAAACAGTAATCATTGATTCACAAACATCGTTTTTTATGTTTTTCTTGAATTATAGTATATTGGGTTGATTGAAGATTGTTGTGCTGTAAAGATTTTGGGTTTTTTCGCTTTTCTGTAATTTCATAGTTGTTGAATTCTATACTTAAGCAGCAATACCGCCTAGAAGTGCCTTGTTTCATTAACTCAACAAATTGCTCTTCGATGGATTTGAAAGCAATATCCTGGGTTGGGAATATATATCAGAAGTTTGAAGCTATGTGTATGGAGGTTGAAGAGGTTATGTATCAGGTGAACCCCGCTTCTAATTGCTTAGAGCGTTTCATGCTTAACTTCTACTTAAGTCGAAAGTGATTTGAACCAAACAACCCTTTTAAGGGTTGGGATAAGAAATCGACTTATTTTATTGTTTGTTTTATGTTTCAGGACACCGTTGATTACGTTGAAAATCAGGTGCAAACAGTTGGTGCAAGTATGAAGAAGTTTTATTCGGAAATTATGCAAGATTTGCATCCTGAATCTTACGTAGATCCCGTGAAAGTTGCTGCTGCTGACTTGTCTCTGAATCCTTATGCTCACCGTGAGATTGAGAAGAAGCAAAAGGCGAGCCTCAAAGAACATTCTAGAGGCATGGATATGAAATTTACCGAAGATTTTGAAGTCATCAAGGGTAGTGATACTACTGCTTATCCATCATTTCATAACGAACTGTGAGATCATACTTAACGGGCAATTCTTTTATAAGTGTATTTTACGATGTATTCAGGAAAAAGCAAACATGGTGGGATCTATAAACGCAGAAATGTTGGGAACAGAAAGAATGCTAAAGACAATCATCCTCCGTTAAGGATGTATTTACCTGTGACTCCTATGTCTTTGGAGAGGACTAGGAAGTCCTCGGTCAGTGGTATAAGAGAAGGTTATGAAATGGCATCTGACCGCATGGATGTAACTTTTCATCTAGCCTCGGCTAAAGGATATGCCTCTCGAGAAATGGTAAATGAAATTTGTGATCCTAAATCAGATACAGATATGAACACAACCAGCAGTTCTATAGATAATGCAGTATCTGACACGGCACTAAAAGATCCTGGATGCACTTCCCCTTTCGGGGGCTCATCATCAGGATCGAGTGGTATGTAGTTCTATATATATATATATATATATTTCTTTTTATGATGCCGTTCTATTCTATTCCCTTTTTATTCCAATTTCTACTAGTAATATTTTGTTAACGGTGCTATGACATTAGGTACACCACATGGACATTTGACAGATGGCACAATTTCTCATACTGGTGACAGTACAATCAACAATGGATCTCCAGGTGAGGTCATCTTTACCTCCACTATGAAATCAAGATGGAAACTTTGAGGGGTGGGGGGCAATCCCAGCCAAATTGGTCGGGCAGTTGGCTTGATAACCATAAGGTTTCAAGTTCGACTCTCAGTGGAAGTGGCCTATTGGCTTTCTTGGATTGAGCCAGTCAGTTATGGGCAACATAAGTTGGTTTACCTCCTTGTGATCCTTTGCCGACTATGGTCACAAGGCGGGGTTTACCCGGTGCATACCCTAGGGTAGTGGCTGTAGGTTTCCCTCGTCACCCAAAAAAAATGATTAGGAAACTTGAAAGAATTTGTCCTGCATTTGAAACAATTTTATATATAGTGATGTTAGACTAGCTAATTGGTTGGATTCAATCTTTTAGTGTGGTTTAACCCACGTGTATTATAGGTATCAAAGCCTGTTCGGTCTGGGTTCACCTGAACCCGGTTATTTACGTTATTTACGGAGTAGTATTAATTCTGAAAATAGGAAGGTCTTTGTGCACCATTGGTCATTCTCTACACATTTCTATGCCCAATTCTTTTAAAGGTCGCCCCATTTTATCTACTAGAGTAAAAATTCTTATATTCCTCTACTGTTACTGCTCTCTACAGAAAGATCAGAAAACCATGATTCTGATGTACTCAAGGCGGGTGATGTGCCCGAACAAGAAGTGGAAGTAGATCGTGATGTTGAGTCACAGTTGGAGGAAACGTGTGTATTGGTTGAAGGGGACGAGCTTCTCGCCCCACAAGATCCCGTCAAACACAAGTCGTACAAGGTTTGAGAGCTCAATACATATATGCTTACTTTCATGCTCCACTTCAACTTCTCATATGCTGTGTTATTCACCATGTACGATATTTTCCAGAAAAAGATTCGCGAAGCATTTTCTTCAAAAATGAGATTAACGAGGAAGGAGTATGAGAATCTTGCAACACGATACGAAAATCAACCTGAAGAGAAGGAAGTGGGTGCTCTGGGAATGAAGGCAAGCACAAAGGTATCAGCAAGTGACTTTCCTGATTCTGAGTGGGAGCTGCTCTAGATATGAAAAGCTTACTGGAAATAGTATTTTGCACTTTCCAATCAATGTGTGTATATTTATACAAGAATGTGAAGAGTAAGGAATGTGCATTGCTTATCAGTAATAAATATAATCCCACTATTCTCTTCAGAACATAATGTACCTACCTATAAATACTGCACATTAAGATTGTAATAAGATCATCTCCGATAGTATTGGGTTTTTTTTTGTGGTTTTTGAGGTGCAAATTAGGAGAGAGATGAGGGAGTTTTTTGTGTTTTTTGAGGTGTCAATTAGGTGAGAGAGAGGAGGGAAAGAAAGGAAGGAAAAAATGAAAAAAAAAAATTAAAATTAAAAGGGAAAATGGCACTTTTCCCCTCTGTGTTATATACTTATAGCATTTTTTCTCCCTAAATTATTTAAGTGGCAGTTTTTTCCCTGATATATTAAATGGACATATTTACCCTTAAATAAATATTTTATTTATTTTTCTTCTCCAACAAATTATAACCACGATTTGGAAAAATAAAATACATTAATTGTTTTGAATTTTTCGAATACTTTAAAAATAAAAAAATAAAAAAAATTTAAATAAAGTTTGAACCAACAGTTCAAATTGGATCCAAAATCGTGAACCGACGATTCAAAATAGAAACCAAATCGCGATTATATATACTTATATGTGAGAATCAACATAAATGCGAAAAAAAGACGTACACTATTTGTAAATATTATAATTCTAATTTTAAGCTATTGCTAGTAGTTGTTCTGATTTGAACTTCCGGTTCACGGTTCAGGATCCATTTTTTTTCCAGTTCATGATTTTAATAAACGGAAACCCAAATATTGGGTTATGTTATGAATTATAACCGAAATTTTTTTATTTGATTGCTATAGTCAGTGGCGGAGCCACAATGGGGGCAGTGGGGGCTGCTGCCCCCACTACCCAACTCCATATAAACTAACTATATATTAAAAATACCAATAATTAATCAAAGTTAGGCTTGGTTGAGATGGTTAGGCTAGTATTTAACCTTATAATATGAGTGAAAGGTCAGCAGTTTGAATCCTAGAGCTGTTTTTTGGTTTAATAGTTATGTTAATTACTAGGGACGAATACATTTGCTAAAAAATCGTTAATGTTAGTTGGTATAGTTATTTATTTGGAATAATTATTTAATGTTAGTTAGCATATTATTGTTTAACAATTTTATTCGTATTTGAACATTTTTTAATTCATTTTACTTTTGTTTTTTTGCCCCCACTCAACGTAAATCCTGGCTCCGCCACTGGCTATAGTGCTCGGTTCAGTTCGAACCGAACCGTGGTCATCCCTACGTATAAGCAATAATTTGTTGAAGAAGATAAATAAATAAAATATTTATTTTAAGGGTAGAAATGTCCATTTAATATTATAAGGGGAGAAAACTGCCACTTTTATAATAATTGAGGGGGCAAATGTAGATGCATGAATAACTCAGGGGGAAAAAGTGCTATAAGCATATAACACAGGGGGAAAAAGTGTCATTTTTCCAAATTAAAATTAAACAGCTTTGACTGTCTTGACGCAAAGCAAAAAAAAAAAAAAAAAAAAAAAAAAAAGCTTACAACGCGCCAGCCGAGCGCTGAATGTGCATTCAACGCGCACAAAGCAAGTTCTCTTCTGCCATTTCTCTCACATTTGAAATCCACAAAAAACTTGTTTTTGCAGTGAATAAAATCCACCTCAAATACTATAAGTTTTTAATCGGACAAAAATCATTGTTGGAGATGTTCTAATAGAAAATGTTATACAGATTAAATTCGGTTTCAATCCATCTAACATGACGGGACTTGATTGAAAATATCATTTTTTTTTTTTAAACAATTCTAGTCAAGTTGGTAACTATATGATTACAACTCTCATTGGAAGCAGTCTATTGACTTTTTTAGTTTAAACTGGTTAATTACGAGTAATCTAAACTAGTCTATATCCTCAAACTTTCTTAATTTGAACAGGTCAAATATAGACCATCTAGATTAGTTTACCTCTTTATGGTTCTTTGTTGGTTAGAAAGATGTCATTTCCTTTTTATTTTCATTTCCATTCCAGACAGCTAAAAATGAGCAAACAATCACAATAAATATTGTCATTTTGAGTTCTACACTCATGAACCAAACACACCCAAAGTACATAGTTCTACATCTATGAACCAAACACATCTTTGGTACATATGTATTAAACAAATTTCGAAGTATAATTCAACTGGTTGATCAATCCGAGGAGAATTAATGGTTTTGCTTCATCGGAAACTAAATTAATAGTTTTGCTTTGCTGGCATTCACGAGCAGGGTAATATGGTTTATTTTGCTCAATGGGTAACAAACTCCATGAATTCTTGATCATTCCCTAAAGTATGTAGTGTGTGAGGAAGAAGGCAAACCTCAATGTCCACACTCCCTTTTTCCAGTCCAGGAAACAGGCTGAACTTCCCATCAGCTTTATTGTCCATTCCACATCTCACTGCTACAGGCTTCCCCCACCCAAAATCAGTGGCATAAACATTGTTCCTTGGGGAGCTAGCAATGCCCAGAAAGTTGGCAAAGAACACTTTGCTCTTCTGGGCAATCACAGGAGATTTCACCCAATTCTGGTAAAACTCCACCACTTCTTCATGATCCTGAATAGACACCACTTCATGTATTTGCCAGGCTGCCCAGCCTAATCCTCTCTTCAGCAGCTCTCCTGCATTTGCCTTTGCCAGCTTGCTGTGAATCGCGTTTCCCCAATACCCTTCTGGCAATGGCGGATTCGTCCTCCATCTCGTGCCTATTGGCACGTAGATAGACACGTCTTCGGTGGGGTTTAGGCGACGGGCACGAGTGATGGCCCTCCACAAGTGAGCCACATATGATTGCAGGGAGGAGATCGAGTCGGTTCCCATTTCAGAGTTGGCTTTTTCCTTGAGCTTTGCAATGGTGTCTTTGCTGAAATGGAACACCCTCTCCTCCAATGGCGGCGGGGTGAAGGAGCTGGACAACGTTTCTTGCTGGAGATCAAAGGGGAGGCAAAGGGGGCGGGCGATATTGCCTGGAAACCATGGATCAAGAACGGGAGGTAAAGATAACTGAGGCATACCTCGCGAGATTTCAGACCAAGAATTGAAGAAATGCCAGAAAGACGAAGCGTCTGCCGCAGTGTGATTCATGGCGAGGCCGATGAAATACCCGTCATCAAGCTCCGTCACCTGAACTCCCAGTAATGGCGTGGAGATTCCCTGAAAGTTACAGACACGGTTAAATGGGAAGAAAGAACGAACCAGGCGGGGCACAATGGTGGGCTCGAGAATCTGAGCCATGGTCACTCCGGCAGCCCTGGCCACAACGAACTCCGCGCCTCCATTGTTGCAGGAAATGGCAACGGAAGTGGTGCCGTCGCCGTTGTTTGCGACGGCGAGACGGCCGGCCAGGGGAGGGAAGAAGGATAGAGTGGAAGACAGAGCGGCTTTGAGATGATCAGTCAAGGTGGAGGTGAGAGAGAATTGTGTGGGCTTGGGGAAGAGAAGACCTTTCTGGATGTAGTCAAGCAGAAGGGATTTCAAATCCCACGGTGTCAAATCAATCTGGGGAATTCTTGGGGCGCCATTATCATCTCCTTCCGCCATGGCTGCTGCTCCAACTAAGCATTTTGATATCACTTCAACTTCTCCCATCTTCCCTCTTCACCTTTGCTTGCTTAGCTTGCTTCTGTTGAATTTATAAAGAAGCAAAATGCTGTTTTTTGTGGACTGACAAATTTTCAAATCTTATTCTGGGTTAATGGTCAAATTAAATACTTTGTTAGTCTAATGGTTGAACAAGTCAAAATGTAATGCCATTTTCCATTAAATCTTGCCTAACAAGCCAAAATCTCTCACCCAAGGTCCCACACCCTGGTTCAAGAGGCAATCATTCTACCATGGACTATACCTTGTAAGATGTATCACTAACATAAAATACATTTTTAATATACTAATGGTACATTTTTAATAAACTAAAGATTACTTTCATTTTGAACATTTCAACCACAGAGTTGGTGGTTAAAGACAAATTCCACAACCAAATAGGAATTAGGTATGAATTATGAGTACCTACCTCAGATGGTGACACACTTGAAGCAAGAAAACCTCTGGGTGGGATGAAAGATGATTAAAGAGTAATCAATTTAAAACTTGTAATTATATTTGTATTTGAAAGGCAAAACCTCAAAAATAATCCCCCCAAAAAAAATTCTCAGAAGTATAGTAAATCAGTTTCAGATCACTAATTCAAGCCCACAATGCATCATTCTTGCTCTGATATAATCTGATCTATAAGTTGATCTTCATGGAGATTCATTAGAATCACCTTTGCATGCTAGAGTTCTCCTTTTCCATAGAAATTATGCAAGCCAGTCTGTCATAGACCTGTATGGCATATAAGTTTATAAGGCTATGGGTTAGACTAGCTAATTGATTGAATTCAATCTGCATTATAGCCCAATCTTTAATTATAACAAAAACTAAAGCTAATATTAGAGCTTCAATCTCAAAATATATGGATATGGTACCTCAGAAAGCTGGTTTTTGTCATCGTCTTTCTTCGATGGTAGAGGATCGTACCTGGATAGCATAAGATACATGGTTCCCTCAGTTCATTCAGGCCATGAAGTTCATTGTATCATTGATTATCATCCCCTTACCATTCCCTTGGGATCCCGGCTTCATCTCTAGCGGTATAGTTGAATGGTCCTTTCAACTCCACATCATACTCCTTCAACAACCCTGTAAAAGATGGAGAGATTGAATTCACCGGAAAAATCAATCAACCGTTGGCATTGTTGAGCATAAAATATATATAAAACATAAATGTGCAATCCAACTATCAGCTTAGGCTTTTAGTTGAGATGGAGCAATTGGCACAAACTAGAGCATACCTTTAAAAGCAGAGGAAGGGGGGCGGTCCATTTTATGACAAACATGTAAAAACCAAGAGACACCAACTGCTACATGCGCTACTTCTTCATCTGCAATTCTGGCCACAATGTCGGCAGTCCTATGATCTCCAAAGCCGATTAGTCTTTGCACTAGTCGAGGGCCAGCATCAAGGCCTCTAGCCTCCTATAGTAATAAGAACATGAAAAAGGGTAACAGAACTTCAACTCTAAGTATCAAATCACCAGACCTTTTGCTCTCACCACTAACATCATCATCAGATAATCTTCTAAAACGAGCAATTCAGTGTGAGTGTATTCTTATGCACCTGGACTAGCGGGATTGCTGCGAGGCGGGCAGCAACATCATCGGATGTCTTATCACATTCCCTCCATAGCAGATTATGAGCAGGCATGTCACCATAGCTGTTGGTGAGAGAAACAGAAGACACTAAAAATCCACAAGACTAAACTAGAAAATTCGAAGGTGAATTCACCTGAATCCTAGCTCGGCTAATCTCTGTGAACACCAAGCAAAATGGCGACTCTCGTCATCAGCCACATGAGCAAAATCAGCAAAGAATCCCTCACCGAGGAGCTCACGATATGGTGAAAAACGAACAACGGTGTCCCATGCCAAATCAATAGCATTTAACTCCACATGAGCAAGATTATGAAGCATATAGGCATTAAGAGGTAACCCCAAGTGTTTGTGAGATGGGATTTCCTTTGGTGAAACCTGGAATCAAGTAATAACCAAATGTCTGTTCCATGGTTACCATTTCAATGCAGAAAATCAGAAATACTTAATAATAACAAAGGAGTAAAAAAAATGAATATATATATCCCACAAACAAAAAAGATATTTACAATTTACAAACCAGTTTGGGAATAGGAGGCCTGGCAGGCTTAGCCGGCGGTTGAAAGACTCCAATGGGCAATCCCTTTTCACGCCACCTACAATAACCCAAGTGGGAAAGCGTTGATTTCTTGAGAGGGTCGGCAGTGGAGAGAACCGCGGCACCAATTTCAGCCAGAGAAGATCCTGACCCGAACTCAGAGTTTCCCGGTAACGGCGGCTGCGGCTCGACATCCGGACCATTGGGCCCCCAAAAACGGTCGTGGTTCAGAGTCCCCTGTCTCCAATTCTGCAGACCTGACCACTGGTTTGGTATTTGTGGATAATGAATAGACGAAATTGAGGAAGAAAAGTGTTTGGTTTGAGCGATGATGGTGCGAAGAGTGAGGGGCCGAGAGCATATAGTACACCGCAGTGTGATGGAGGAGAGCATGCTTGCTTGCCTGTTTTTGCCCCTAATCACTTCATTACTTCATTTGGATTTTAAACTTCTCTCAGTTCTCTGTCAAGGGGGAGAGATTATACCATTTTGAGCCAAAAGGTATTAGCATCAGTAATAGGATCAGTTCAAACCAAGAAAGTTATCATTTTGAGCCAAAAAGTATTAGCGTCAGTAATCGGATAAGTTCAAACCAAGAAAGTTACCATTTTGAGCCAAAAAATATTAGCGTCAGTAACCAGAGAAAGTTACCATTTTGAGCCAAAAAGTATTAGCGTCAGTAACCAGAGAAAGTTACCATTTTGAGCAAAAAAGTAAGCCAAAAAGTATTAGCGTCAGTAATCAGAGAAAGTTACCATTTTGAGCAAAAAAGTATTAGCGTCAGTAATTGGATCAGTTCAAACCAAAAAAGTTACCATTTTGAGCCAAAAGGTATTAGCGTCAGAAATCGGATCAGTTCAAACCAAGAAAGTTAATATGCAACCGTAATGTCATAATATTGAATAAAATCAAATCAAATCTTAGCTTAATCGGTAGCTTGGTTGGTTTCTAGTGTTGAATTGTGAGCAAGAACACAAGATCATTCATAGTGCGAGTGTTACATTCAATGTGGTGAGTTCCTTATAAGCACCAGACACTAGTTCTTTCACCTAATGAACTGCTGAGTTATCATAATTTTACCATTCTACTATCTTATTGGGATGTGAGCGAGAAAATTTCACCTTTACAGAGTAAAACCTAAAGCAAAACCCAACAAATTGGCTAACACAGAAATGGACCCTAACAGAAGGTGTTTCATTCATTTACACAAATCATCATTACAAATATTGCAACATTCAAGAATTTGACTTGCACGTCAGTGGTGGGGGGAAATCCAGCTCCCTGGATATGCTGTGGTTATCAATGCACAGAGCTTACAGATTACAATACTACCTACATTATTATTATACATATTCATGAAACAGTGAGCATCTAAAACAAAAAACCTAAAGCACCCTGCAGTCTTAACAGATATATGATACACTTCGCTGAAGCCAAGAATCTTGATAAGAGATTGCCATATTCTTCGTCACTGCTGACATGGTGGGATCTGCACATTAATCACAACAGTCATCATGGATGATGTGAGATGAGCATCCATAAAGCACACTACAACTGACTAGCCAATGAAGACATGAGTTTAGTTTTCCTAAACTACATGAGATTTGGGAGCCGTTTATCCAGATATTACCATTGACTATTTCATTACCGAAATTCAAGATGGCAATGCTATAAAACGCATTTTAATCATCAGTGTTTCTGCAAAATCATGATGACCATGTTTTAAAGGAAAAATAGGCAAGGATAACATAACCACTTCCACATCACAAGTTCTAAAAAATTCCATTTACAAAGAAGATATAAAGAGGCTTAGAGAAATTGCAGTTGCAAACACTAGGGACACAATAAAGAGACCACCTGGTCAAAAATATAAAGATTACTGTAGTAAGCAGCAAAGTCAGACCAAAATTGTTTATTTTATTAATAACCAATCTCATTTCAGTTGCAAATGAACCCCATTAAATTTAAACAACTGTCATCTTACCTGGGAAACCAGTTCAACTCCTTGGTGAATGTTCTGTATCAGACCCACCTTCTGAAGAGCTTTCACTATGAGAATCTGTTGCAATAAAAGATGAAACAAATTAAAAAATGAGGCAGAATAGTTGAACATATAGTAACCTGTAACCACAATGATAAAAGAAAAAGATTATATGAATACCACTTGATGAAGATCCTGAATCGGTACTAGAGCTGCTTGATTTAGCTGCATTATTCTCTAGCTTTTCCTCTTCAGCAGGAGCAGAAGAAATGTCCTTTCCTTCTGCTTATATACAGACTAAGTCAGCAAGCATCACATGAAAAAAAAAATATTTATATGTAGTCCTAGACAAGGGTAAGCTTCACAATCCACAAAACCATACAGATATAAAGACTTCATTTTCCACATCTAGTAGGTAGTCTTAACTAAAGCAAGTTATTACCTGCTTTGCTTTCTGTTGGAGTTCTGTTTAGAGCTTCAGTTGTAGTTTCTACCACAACTGGGGGATTTTTCTGCAGACATAGCAAGAAAGAGGTTATGCAACTAAAATATGTGTGTGTGGATAGAGAGATAATATACAGGTCAATAGTTTACCTTCTCCCGAACATTCTGTTCAATTTCCTTTATAGGTTGAGTGGCAAGTTCTGGATTTTCAGCTTTTCTTTTGTTCTTGCTCAAACTCTTCTTGTAGTTAGTTACAAACCTATCGAGCTCCCAAAGCGTTTCTGTATCAACACTATCAATATCCACTTCAATCTCATCATCATGTTGGGAGAGAGAAGAGTTCCTCTTTTTTATAATTTGCACTACATTCTCAAGCTTTTCAGAAGGTAAATTTTGTAGGTTCATGCTAAGTTTTTGCTTTTCATCATATGTCATATCCCTTTTATTGGGATCTTTTGCCTTTGGCTTCTTTGGGGCAGGGGTTCTCCCTGGGGGATTCATGGGTTTCGATTTTGGATCTGTGGGGAGGGTCATGGATTCAGACCTGCCGAATTTTTTTCTCATTTCAGGGTTTGGCAATTTAGGACCCTTCCGAGATGTAGGAGTAGGTAAACCCACATCATAATCCACTGCAAGTCTCAACTCCCGCATATAATCAGCCTCTATAGCAGGCCATTTGTTTTCAAATATCTGCAAGAGCTGCTCAGCCATTACATAAACATCTTGCCCCTTTGGATTATACGTCATAGCATTCTGAAATGTAAGTCTCACATCCTCTGCAAATTCTCTAGGAGATTTATACCGATTACTATCCAGCCTAGATTTCACCGTACCAAGATCCATTGGATGCTTAATGATGTCAAAATAGTCATGTAAACCAAGACCAGCAGTATCAACCGGTTTGTTAAACACCCAGGCATGCTTATGCTTCATTAGTCTTTCCAGTAATGCACAACAATTCTTGAACACTTGATTTGAGGACTTTCCCAACCCAAAACTATGTCCTGATTCCACCCCTCCCACTTTTTTCACATTTGATTTTGTTTTTTTGTTACTTTCCACAGGTGGAATCTTATCTTTTGCAAGCAAAAAATCTGAATTTCGATAGAACTGGTTTGCCTTTGGTGTCCTCTTCTCTTTCTCTGCATTATCACTTACACCATGACTGTTCTCCAACACCGACACACTCAACTGATGCAAAGGCCGTTCACGGGGTGTGACTGTTGTCGCTGCCTCAGCTGGCACCTTTTTAGCCCCTCCAGCTTTGTCAATGATGTGATCATTCTTTTGTATCTCTTTTGTCTCAATATTCTTCACCAAACTCCTAATCGTGTCCAACTCACTCTGCAACTTCCTCCTCAATTCTCGCATCTCCTGCTTTGATTTCATTGACAAGCTAATCGTAACCCTATTTTCTTGTCTTGGAAATCCAAGCTTCCCCCCTTCATTACCACCTGGTACTCCCCGACTGCCCAAAGGCGCAGCCAATGCACGATTAAGACTCGAAGAACTCTCCAAGGCTGCATTAGGAAGGGAATTAACCAGAGGTTGAGACCATTCATCATCTTCTTCAGTTTGGCCTTGAGCTTGCAGCTCTTGTGTCGGATTACTATTATAGCTTTTTAACCCTTTAAATGACTTCCTTGTATACACTTTGTCGCCCAATTTCGGCTTCTCTTTCGACCCTTCATGTCCTCCACTCCCACCACCCAACATCATTTCTCACACATTCAACTCCAAAACCCTAATTAAGTCATTTCGAAAGATTGAAATATTAATATGCATACATAAAACGAAGAAATATATCTTCCATCTCAACAAACAGCGCCAAAACACACGCTAATCACCTTCTGAGGTGTTGATATATGCATATATGATCTATAATCCATGAAATCGACACCGAGATGCTTAGATACATAACTAGGGTTTACGGTAAATTAGAACTATGAAACGTACCTTTTCCGTAGAACGCCTTCTCTCTCTAAACTTCACTCTCCGTGTTCGATCCGGTGCTCTGCATTTACGATTCATGCCTCCCAATCCTCTTTTAGATGAGCCCGTAATCGGCAGAGAATCAAAGGCAGCGATGAAGAGAGGAGGGCGAAAATCGACGCGAGTGAACCGGGCGTGCAAAGCACGGAGAGATGGAGGGCTGGGATTTTTCCTCTGCGGTAGTGGAGAGAGCATCAACGGCTGAGATTTCGCTGTTGTTGGTAGTTGACGATTCAAGTTTGGCTCTTTCTATGCTGGCCCACGCGTTGAGGGTGGCGCGTTCTTTACAGATACAGCTTGTGGATTCGTGGTCCTCTCCCCCGTTCCTTCTTAATTTCGAGTCCGCTGATAGTGAGTAGTGATTGGGTTGGGTTGGACTGGGCTGGGCTTTCCCAACCAAGCCCATTATAAGTAGTTTGGGTTAATAGAAATTTGAAAATACTTCATATAGGCCCATGTTGAAACCAACCAATTGTTATATCGTGTACCAGGGCCCACAATGCATTGTGTGCCTAAAAAATTTCATGTTTTGCATGTACATAATCGTGTACCAGGGCCCACAATGTTTTGCATGTACATAAACTCCTAACATAATACACATAATCTTAGCATAATACATAATACACATAAACTCTTAAGATAATACATATAAACTCTTAACATAATATACATGAACTCTTAACATAATATACATAAACTCTTAACATAATACACATAACCTCTTATGGCGCACAGTACATTGTGCACCTTGGTGCACGATATAATTTGTCGAAACCAACGGCAAATTATTCCGTGGACCTGAGTTCATGGTATAATTGCTCGAAACCAACGCATAGTAGACTTGTAGTATTGACTATTGGGACTTATAAGGTATGGATAAGATGACGCAACTCTCTAGTCTTGAAAAATGGAATGAGATATGAGATATCCAACAAAATGCGGGATTAGACTAGGAAACACCATTTTGACAATAAAATTATTACAAGAGAATGTTAGTAAATCAATTACATATAAAAATTTGATTTTGATTTACAAGAAAGCTTTGGTGAAGCCTTCCTATGACCCT